TTTATAGGACCAATCTGGCTGTTCTTCGGGTCTCTGCCTTGATAACATGGTTTCATCAGTCATTCCCTCTATGTCTTACGTCGAGCTGGTCTTTTTCCACCAGCACCTTATCCTCTCGACATAACCTAAGCTTCTCCATAATTTTTTGAAATGACTTTCCACTGATTGTGCCTTATCCAGAGGTCACTGCATTTATCCTCCTGTGTGCCACTAATTTTTGGAAGTCTACTGAAAAGCTCGGGAGCTCCTGCCTCCCCTAAACCACCCTGATCTGTAGTCTCCCACCACTACTCACAGCAAACCTGCTCCTCACAGGTTAGTGAGGCATCAATCTGGTGAGCCTGTTTCCATCCTCACTCTGGGTGACCTGTGCTGGATTTGATCCCTGGGGTCACTCGTCATGCATGGTTTCACCTTGGCTCCTGCGTGACCACTTTCTCTGTGCTTCTCCACTCTGATCTCTCCGAGCGCTGTTTCTGTTTCTTCTGATCTTTCCTCTGCCCCTTAAGTGGTGGTGCTTCCCCAAGAGTTCATTACTTTGGCCCTAATTTGTTTATAAAATCCTCCTACAAGTGACCATGCCTACTTCCATGAGTGTGACAACTGCCTACACATACAGAAATGATCCTGAAATACATATGTCCAGCTCAGAGCCCTCCTGAACGCTGAGCCCATACTTCAGACTCCGTGAAGAACACAGTAGGGTAGACCTTTCAACTCAGTGTCCAATCAGCCTCACTCTAGTCTACCCCTTTATCCTGTTGATATAATCCCCATCCCCCATCTTCAAGCAAGTACTCTCTACAGCCCATTGCCATCGCCCTCCACCATGGAATTAGCCTCTTAAGTCCTGCTGACTGCACACCGTAACCTTTCTCCAGTGTGGTCCCTTTCTACTCCCAAGACCTTTGTTACCTCTGGCTCAAGCGTTTTCCACAGCTTCTCAAACAGCCTTTATCCCACCTTTCTCTGTCTCTGCCCCATTTCCCATCCTGCTGCCTGTTGCTGTAAAACGCAATTCAAAGTGTTATTCCTCTGTTTTACAGAAAACTTTTGCTCACCCCACACTACCCAGAGGATAATTTCAAAATTGTGATCAGGACATAAAAAGCTTTGTCCCACTTGCATGTCTTCTGTTGCCCTTGTCTCCAATGCCCTCAGTAGCTGTCTACCCTCCAGGCTCAACACCCACCTTTTTATTCCCAGAAGTCTGTGTGCCATTTTCCCATCCTGCCTCATGGCCTTGATGCCTCCTTCTTACCCTTCTGCACCTGCCTCCCTTTTCCTTCCTCCCTTCCTCCCTCCCTCCCTCCCTTCCTTCCTTCCCCTGCAGTACTGGAGATTGAGCCCACAACCTTGCTCATGCTAGGCATGCACTCTCCCACTGAGCTACGCCCCCTGCTTTTTATATTTCATTTTGAGACATCCTCTCACTAAGTTACCCAGGCTCACCTAAACTTGTAACCCTCCTGCCTCAGCCTCACAAGTAGCTAGGATTACAAGCATGCATCACACCATTGCCACATTTCTATTAGTGAGACTGTGTCACTTAAACTCCACCTCCTCCAATGTAAAACCTTTCCTCCTCCCAGGCTTGAATGAACCATTCCTGCCATATTCTCACAGCTACCATGACAGGGTATTGAGTTCCTAGAGCACCAAGTGCCTGCTGCTATACTATGAGAACAATTCTTCTGCTGATGAGTTTGAGCCCAGAACCAGAGATGAGTGGACCTCACTGGAATTCTCAGGCCCAGACTCCTCCTGGAATTCCACAGTCTCCTCTCAGGGCTCATTAAACCTCTCTGAAAGCACTCAGAGCAGCAGCAGCCCATGACTACGGCCAGCACAGCCCGTGAACTCCCTATATGACCGTAAGCAAGTCACCCACGCTGTCTCAAAGATCCCAACAACAAATACATCACAGGTTCTTGTATTACACTTATCCTACCTAAAGAATAGAAGCTGAAAGTTTGCAACGTAGTAGGAAATCGCAGAGTCCAGGCCCGACCCCAGATCCATCCCACCACAGAGTGAGATTTCTCAGCTGGGCATCGCAGAACTCATACTTTCAGTGGAGTTCCTTTTTTATGTCAATAGCTTGTCCAAGTGCTGAGAGGTATCTGCTTCTTGATCCCTTCTGCCTGCTGCCCAGGTTATTACAACTTTATAAGAATTCCCTAACATTGACAGGTCTTTTAAATGATGGTTCAACAATAACAACATTTTGTGTTTTTGCCTTATCTGCCAAACGGAACTCCTCCCAGCACCTGTCTGTGTTGATTTTCCCCTTTCCATCCCTCTGACCAGACCATATTTGAAGTTCTACTCCGCCCCCTCCATCTGTTCCCTCCTGCTAAGTTTAAGCCGAACCCTGCTGCGTGCTGAGACATGGCCTTGGCGACCAGAAAGCCTTGTGCATTTATATCCCATGTGGGTGGAAAACCCCTCTCCTGACCACAGGAGGGAAAAAAACACAGCCATGATGGGCGTGCCTTTGAGCCAGGCTTTGGTCACACTCTGCGTGTTGATTCTGCGCATTACAGATTTTACCACAGAGAAGACATGGTATGAAGTATGGACTTTCCGGAAGAGGAGCAACTGTACCGCCCCCTAGTCTGCAGTCTGCACCTTGCGAATTTAGGAGGGAGCAAATGGTCAGAAACGCTCCGTGCAGGAAGAAGTAGCAGCAGTTTGCCTCTGGCCCTTCCTTTACTCAGTGTTTATTTCATCTTTATTCTTCAAGGCCTTTTACGAGAGCAGAGTTCCTGGCTGCTAGTAATTTTCTCTCTTCAAACATCCTTACATTGTCTTTTTTGTGGAAAAGTCAGTATTTGGTCTACCACTTCCCAAAAGGTAATATTTTCCCATCCACCCACTCCCCTGGCTGATTTTAACATCTATTATTTATCTTTAGTTTGTAAAAGTTATCTTTCTATTTAACCTGCTTGGCTGTTTGGGCCATTTTTTATAAAATGATGTCTGCCTTCAGTTTTGGAAAAACCATTGTCATTAGCTCTTTAAATATTGCTTTTGATCCATTAACCTCTTTTCCTTCTAAGATTCTAATTTAAATATATGTTAAACCTTTCCATATGTTCTTTATGAGTCTTAACTTCTCCTCTAAATTTTTTTTGTGTTTACCAGATTCTTCCAACTTATTTTTCAGGTTATTATTTGTCTTTTCATATCAGTCTAACACCACCTCCCAGAGAAAGAATCAACAACAACAACAACAACAACAACAAAAATTTTTGGTGCAAGTCTTAATTCTAGCTGCAGCATTTATTGTTTTTAAAATTTTCAGTTGCTTCTTTTTCATATTTGCAACATCATTTTTTTATAGCTTGCAATTTTTGCTGAAAGCTTTTAGTTTTCACTTTTATCTCCATGAGTTTAGTAATCATATTTGTTTAGAAGCCCGTGGTTGGTGAACTCAGCATGCTGGTGTATTAGTGGGTTTGCTTCTACTGAACTTGACACTAAGGTACATTCTCAGGGAAGGCTGACTAGCCTTTAATATGGAAGGAATAGGTGACTAGAAGTTTTGCCCTAATCAGGTTCTGGACTCAAACTCTGGCTTTCTTTGCCCTAAGAGGCTCTCAAAAGTGCTCCTAACTTCTGGATTAGAATGCTCTATGCGCAAAAACAGTGCCAAACACGGTGTTCACATCTCTTAGATAGAACTCAGAAATATTATACTATGTTGCAAGTTCTTTGCTGTATTTAGAAAGAGTTTTTAAAATGTCATCTAAAATTGTAAATTGTCTTTTTAAGATTTGCTCCAAGTTAGCATTGTGAAAAGTGGGTGTCTACACCTTAGGTTTGTATGATGCTCTGCCAACCTAGACCCTGAAGGCTCACTGGGAGGAATATGTAGTTGTGATTCTGTTGAGCTTTTATCAATGACCCAACCTTGCAAAATAATACTTGAAATACACACCATTAGACTGAAGTACTTTGAAAAAATATGAGAAAACAAATTTTCTTGAGTTAAATTCAAGAGGAGCTAGTGAACTGGAGATTGTGTAAGAAACTTTCAGGAAGCTAAAACAGAAAGATTCATTAACCAAGGAAATCTGGTTTATATTTGGGCCAGGGGTTTAGCTCAGGGGTTCCAGCGCCTGCCTTGCAAGTGCAATGTCCTGCATTCAACCGGTACCAAAAAAAAGAAAAAGTTCATTGGTTATATTTGAATGAAATGTCTATTAATACAATGATACTTTCCATTAGAAAATCAATAACCAACATTTTAAATTGAAAACAAAAGAAAAATAAGACCTAATTCACTCCTACGTTAAGCAGAAAACATGGTAATAAGAGAAACTTTTTATCTTAGAAGCAACTAATAGCCACAGCCCTTCTCCTCCTTCCATATCTCCCGGTCTCTTTTGGTCCTCCAAACATTGATTTGTTCAAATATAAAATCAAGATATTCGGATCTCAAGAAAAGCAGAACTCTGTGAGAACCCCAGGAAGCTTAATAATATTGGATCTAAGCCAGTTGTGATAAATACTTTTTACTATACATCTTTGGTCTCCTTTGTAGTCAATTCTGGCCAGTGATATGGGAGGGGGTGTTGTAAACCTTTTCCTTTCCTAAGTAAAACACACACACACACACAAAGACATAAACAGAAACAGCCAACACTATTCCTTCTTCCTTTCTCCAAATGTGGACGCAAAAAAGATGTTCAGGAAAAACAAAACCAAACAAGAAACTTACTACCAACATTTTCCTGATGGTGAAATAAAAAAACACAATGAAAGCTGATAATGGTAGAGCAGACACTGAACTGCCAAATAAATCTTGATATTGTCTACCTCCTGTTCTGTTTTTAGGTTAAAAAAAAAAAGATGTCCTTATATTTTAAGTGCTGTCACCTTTCTGTTGATTTAACCAGAAAACACCCATAACAAATAGTCATTACATGTACTCATATGACAAAGTTTTGACCCAAGTTTGACTGAAGACAATGCTTGAAATTTCTATCACTTACTGTAATACAAGAATCTGGAGGTTCCAGGTCGAAGTCAGTGATATTCAAGAGGACACGGTGATATTTTTCAACTTGAATGACCCAGGAACAGTCACTGTTACTTCTATAATGGTTGGGGTAATCTGGAGAATGAATCTCTCCGTTGGGAGCATGGAAAATCCCGCCACAACCTGTAAGTGGGAAACCCAATTCAATAATGAGAGGAATCACTGATGCATAAACTATAGCACTATCTGATCTGGTAGTAGGTCAGCATGCTACTGTTCTTGACTATTAGTTTTATTTGGTCTATGCTAAAACCTTTGAAGAACAGAATAGTCACATTAATTCAGTCATCCCAACAGGAGCAAGGTGGTATGTACTGTATAATACTAACAAAATGTTTTAAACACTCTAAATAAGGATATCCAAAGTTAAAATAATAATGAAAAATAAGTTGAAATGAACTCATGCTTTTACAAAGCTGTGAAATGTCTCTTTATTGTTCTCTAAAATACAGCATATTGTAAGAATAATCATTTCTTTCAAAGTATTTGCTAATCTAGTAGTATTTGATTTAACACATCACTTAATAACTGTCTTTTAAATTTTTTAAATTTAATGATCTAGATATAGTACAATTACTTGTGCTGTTTTTAATTCCTATGATGTTATAAATACCTGTTGGCACATATATCTGTATTATCGTTATTGTTTGGGCTTATGATAATATAAACCATTAATAGAAACATAACAGCATTATTTCTTAGTAATTAAGAATCATTTGAGGGTAATGTATACACTGTGTATGTAAATTTGTACACAACCAACTTCAAGAGAGAGTCTATGTGATTACTGTGTTACCTTGGAGTTGAAGAAGAGCCATAAGGTGGCCTGGTGTCACATTTCTGGGTTGCCACTTCTAGCTGTGGAACTTGGGGCAAATCACTGACTTCTCTAAGCCTCAGTTTCCCCACTCCTAAGATGAGGCTATGAAACAGACTTTCTTCACAGGGCAGTTATAAGTATAAATGAGATAATTCTTGAAAAATAGTTAGAAAAGTAGCTGGCATATAGTAAACATTCCATAAATATCACTATCATTAATGGTTTCCTAAGATAGTATATTCAAATATTTTGTGCCATAATGTGTAATTTAAAAATCTGCAACAGGTAACTTATTTAGACTACCTAAGACTGGACAGAAAGTCACTCTGCAACACACAGTCATTCCTTGGACCCGACAAATTTCCTGTTTATAGAGTTTGCATTTGCCAAGTATCCAAAGGTCTATACTATGGCACTAGGTGATCGGCCATTTACTGCTGCGAGAATCTGAGGCTGGGAAATGGGCACAAGTCCCTTGGCAAGCAAATGAGTGTTTGCATCCCCCAACTCTGCTCTTGCCACGGACTTGCATACCTGTATCTCTGCCTTAATGTACATGGGGAAATGGAGAAAATTCAACTCTGTCCCGTTTTTTAGGGAAGTGTAATACCAAAGCAGTATGGGTCATTTGGGAAGTCCCAGAGTCATCAGGCACTCGATTCCTTTCTCCAATCATTGCAGTTTAACTAGGGGTCAGCCTAAGCACTGAGAGGCCACCTCCTCCTTCTCCACTCACCTCCGGAGAGTGCTTGCCAGGAGGCATTGAAGCCTCGCCCGTTTACAGAGCTGTCAGTTTTAAATCGGATTGCTAGCTCGTTTCCAGTGCTGGAGACCTGCATGGGGATCACAGATGATCGCTGGGCACACAGCTGGGTCAGTCTGGGAGCGTGGAAATCGGGGCCTCCATAGACCTGAGACGGGTGGGAGAAGGAAAAATGACTCAGTCAAGGATATATCGGAACAATTTCACACCTTCCCATGGCTCCTTTTCATCAGCGGTTCTCGGAATCTGTTATGATTAGAGATGGAAAACAGCCGCGTGGGTGAGGATGAACTGTGGCACTCCCTCTGACCTAGGAACATACAAGCTGAATCACCCCCCAAATCTCTGCTTGTTTCATCGCCAGAGTCATAGAGGTGGACTGGGTGGATTGCTGCAGAATCATCCCTGTCCTCCCTTTTCCTCAATTTTGTCTCACAGATGTTCTGCTTTCTCTGATAGTGTTGCAGACAATGCAATATTAAGTGTGATCTTCTAACTCTTACATATAGGTATATATGAAGGGTCTGAACAGAAAGCCATTTTATGGACGAAAGTTGAGTTTACTGATGGCTACTGATTTTCTACTTATACTTTTAAGAATTCCCACCTACCCTGCAAACTGAGTGTTTTGCAAGATTAGGCATCAAGTATGAAAGTTTTGCATCTTCTGAGGGAGGGGAGATAGAATCTCCCTGAGTGGGTTCTGCAGTGTCCTAATGAAGGGAACTGTACAGAACCTGCTCTGCCTTTCCCAGGCACTTGGCCAACAGGTCCAACTTTCTCCCAGGAACCCCCTAGCCTCTGTCCCCCAAACTAGATGGCTCCCTCTAGATGGCTTCAGACCTTTATGACACCTCCAAATGTGCCCATCATCTGTCTGCCTGGGATCCAGCCACTGTGTGACACATTACTCAGGCCAGATTTCCCCCGGTCTCACCTCCAGGAGGCCTGAGACTCAGGCTGCTGAATCTGCCCTGGACCCTGGTTATCTACTGTGTGCCTGCACTCACATGTGTGCGTGTGTGCATGTGTTGTGTGTGTGTGTGGGGGGGGTGTTGGGTGGCAGGGGTGAGATGAAGATTAGTATTGAAGAGAAGTTACTGATCTCCCATCTTCAGTTCCTGTCAGAATTGAATTTGGGGAAGACAGGCTATTCTGAGTGACGGTTTTCAAGCATACGGGCATCTGAGCCCTTTCCACCCCCCACCCCCACTTATAGGCACACAAATCTACACTCAGGGCCAAGGCCAGGAAAGCAGCTCTCAGGAAGGTCTCTCCTGGGCTGCCCCTGGAGACCCGGCCCTTCCTCAGGTCCTCTGCTTACTGATGGGGAAATCACTCAAGAGTTCTCCAGGCCCAGAGTGAGAACAAGAAGACTACTTTGAGGGAAGAGTGCATGACTTGAATCTATAATGATTTCTTTGTCTGATGAACTGCCCCCAGCATGCGGGAAAGGCCAAAATGAATGAAACTGCTGTTTCCCAGAGGGCTGAGCACAAGGGCTATAATTGCAAAGGAATGAAGCAGGCTGACTGCTTCAGGCTTATTTTCATTAGCAGGAGCTGATGTTTATGTGGCCCTCCCAGTGCTATCAAAACCAGGACTTCAGGAAGAGCCTCCTGTGGCCCTTTACACGTACACAAATGCAAATGGAAGAAACAACACTGCTTCTGGGTGAGAGTCCCTTTCCCAGTTTCAGGACTCCCTGTCCCCTTGCCCGCTAGCCCGGGGTACTGTCCCCAGAGCCTGCTTGTGACAGCATGTGCTCCTAATTATCCAAGGCCAGTAACCAGCACATATTTAGAAAGAACATTGAGCATAAGCTGTAAGCCCTAACAAAGAAAACCCACATGTCAGCAAAATAGCCTCTGTTTTCGCTGCTCATGTGTCCCCTTGAGATCACAAACATAAAGGGTATGAGTTGGCCGGGGCTGGAAACCTCCAGAAGAATAAACACTGCCACTTTGGACATTCTTTGCTTTCCCTCTCCCTGGGCTGAGCTCATAAATGACCACTGGCAGAGAGACTGGAAGGTGCTAACTGCCTACAGCAAGAAACTGTGCTGGTTTATTGCAAGCAGTGGGCTCCCCTTCCTACTGGATGTACCTCAAGCTCTTCCTATAGAGCTTTCTCAGAACTGGCCATAAAATCAGCCTGGTGCCTCCACAACCAAAACAATACAATGGTGATTTTGGCTTCCACACGTAAAACCAATAGTTTGAACATATTCAAAAGAGGAAAAAGATGGAAAGGTTTCAGGGTGTGGTTCATCCCACTATGGCATATGACTAAATTTTGGGGGAAAAAGAATTGTTCTTATGATCAGAGATTAAAATGTATTTTTAGCCAAAGCTCAGGATGGAGAACATTTCAAAGCTATGGTTTTAATCTGTTTTGAACATTTCTTTCTGCTCTGTTAGGTCCGTTTATTATTACAATCAAGTCAGCATTCCGGAGTTATGAGTAACCACACGGCTGTTGCTTTATGCAACTGGTCACTTCCTGGGCAGTCATTTTGGAGGGAAAAGATGGCTTCCGATTAAATTTGGTGAGTCCCAGTAAGTCCTATACCTGGTAACAGGAAGGTCCTACTTGGGTGTGATCAGCAGAACAAAGAAGATTGTCCAGGCTGAGAAAGCCATGTTTCTAGACCACAGTTCCACAGGGATAACAAATTTTGAAACCTACTGCCAACAGGTTATCAGTGATTAAGCACTGGAGAAATTATGCTATCATCATTAGCCCAAATTTATTACAGCACTTTCGCTGAGTTGAGCATTTGCAGAGAAGCGAAACAAGGCTTATGAAGTGAAAGCCAAGGGGCTACTCCTTTCAGCTTTAAGAAAAATATTGTCCACCAATATTTAGGGGCTGCTAAATATTTCCCCAAACCCCGATTTCAGAGGAACTTGGGAGTCCACTGCACTGTCAGCTTGTCCTAACAAAAATAAACCTTAGGTTGACTGACACCTTCCTCAGCACAATTATGTGCAAGTGAAGAACCCTCTCCCCTTGAATGCTCTTTGCTGCCTGGAGCCCCTGAATTTGTCCCTCTGTGGCTGAGGCTGCTTGCAAGCAACAAACCCTGCTTCTACTTTCTCACGTAAAGGGTGTGACAAAACCCGAAGCACAATGAACCCGTTTATACTTTGCCAAGTGGACAACAATCATATGCACTTTGGAATATGAAAATGAAGGGTTTGGAACATTGCACATCACTGTGGACGCTCTGCAGCCAGCCCTTCGTAAGTGCAAAGAGGTTTTATGGACTAAGTCATTTACTCCCCTCGCTGGCAAGAGACACCACTGGAACATTCCACAGGGGAGTGTTAGTCCTACTTCAGACTGAGTGAATTTAGGGAGGAACCTTGTTCTCTCCTCCTAAAAACCATTCCTCCTCTGACATGGAATCATGACAGCAACCATACTTCTACGAAGACAAGGGTATGGGTTTCACCCACAGCCTTTTCAGCTGTGCCTCTGACTTCATTTCCTGTAGCACTGCCCCCTATAGAGGGACTCCAGCTACTAAATAAAGTCCCTCATGATTCTGCATCTACCCATCCAGGGGATGACTTTAGAACTCCATTTCTCTTCACAGTAAGAAGTTACTTTCTAATCAAATGAAGATTTTAAAGCACGCCTTACACATTTCATTGTCTTACACACTGCACACAACTGTGGTTTCATATTGCTTTACACGGAGAATGGAGTAATGACCAGCTTCACTCCTTACCTCTTCCATCCACTTTCCGTGTGGTCACAGAAAAGCCCATTAATTTGAGCCTTGGTTTTGAGAAATATATTATGGGGACAAAATCTTCCTTTTACTTCATGGGAAATGTGAAAGGAAAAAATGATTGTAAGTGTGCCTCTGTAAAACACTACAGCGTGCGTTATTTCAGTATATCAGTCAGAGATTTGGATGCTTTTGTTTATTACACAAACTTATTGACTGTTTACAATTTCCCAGGTACTCTTGTACAAAGATACAATGGTAAAACAAAGCAAAGCAAAAACCTCACTGAGGGAATTTAAGTCTTACTAGATACACACTCCTTGCGGGGATGTGCTATAGCAGTCCCTACAGCCAGGGCGGTGAGTTTTCTGCTTGTATTTAGAAACCATTAAATTATGCAGACAGGTTCATGTTCAGGAGATGCAGATATTGATACATGCCACATGTATATCCTAATGACTAGATTCTTATAATAAAAAGCTGATTATAATACAGTTTAGGGTCAAGGTCCTCAAAAACTACCTTAGACTTCTGAAACGTGCCCTCTGCAGGAACTCTAAAAAGTCCTCATCTGCAAATGCCCCACACTCTCCAACTGACCGCTGTATGGAAAAAGCCTTTGCAGCAGATGCAGCAGCTGCGCTCTGCTGACCCATGCAGAGCTGCAGCCCCACACAGCTCCTGGGTCTGCAGCCAGTGTCTCCACTCCGCTCCACATGCTTTTTCTTTTTCTCATCTTTTTCCCCATACGTTTATTGGTACATTTCAGGTAATTTTAGGTGTACATTATGATCACATTCATCACTGAGGATTTGTACCTGTACATGATTTATCTTGATTCTTGTTTTTTCCCATTCCCTTTCCCTCCCTTCCACCCCTCCACCCCTCCCTATTTACAAAAGCTTTGTGTCCGGTTTTTTCCTTCTCTTCTCATATTTTTTTCTTTCCCTACTTTTCTTTCCCCACCATATCCCCTACTCCCCCTTCCGCTTTGAACCTTTTCTTCCTGTTTCACAATATCTATTATACATTTTGCTCCTCATTTACATTTTCAGTTTCTCACACCAAAGAAACAACTGGTATTTACACATGTGTGTCCTGTATATTTCACTTAAGAGTATGGCCTTAATGTGCATCCATTTAGATATAAGTGGCTCTAGTTTATCATTCTTTATGGCTGAGTAGTACTCCATTTTATATGAAAATGGAAAAACATCCCTCACTTCTGGGTAGGAAGAACTAATATAGTAAAAATGGCCATATTTTCAAAACTGCTATCTAGATTCAGTGCCATCCTGACTGAAATTCCAATAGCATGTTTCACAAACTAGAGAAAACAATTGATATGTTTTTTCCAAGGGAGTTTTCTCAGACAGAAGCGTGGGGTTTTAATGGTCCCAAGCACAATACTCATCTATGGGAGCCACAGTTAGGGGCCAAGGCCTCAGCCCCAGTCCTTCTAGGGTGACCTCTGGAAGGTCGCAGAAGACTGAGTTGCTCAGGAGCCCCCTCCTCGCTCTCCCTCTGCATTTTACTACTGTTTGCTGCCTCTCCTTCTGGCCTCCCCTCCTAACTAAGCTGGTATAGCTCTCAGGCACTGCTTGAAGGAAAACCCAAACTAAGATATTAATTCCACAAGTCTACCAACACTATGTGTGAAGGGCTGATGCTCATCAGAATGCCTAAGAATAGAGCTCTGCTGGCCACCAGAAAGCATGTGGGATTGCCACAGAGTCCTCTCCATTCTATTCTCTTCTGTCTTGGAATACGCTAACAACCATCTTCCGCCTTACCTCCAGGACGTCATATTGGCACGTTGACTCATATTCCACATCAAAGTCATGGATGGTGAGCTGGATTTGACTTCCCGGGGCAGTGTGAATGTACCAGATACATTCTTTGTTGGGTGGATACTTTCCAGGGTACTCAGGACTGCTGAAGGAGCCCATGGCTCCAAACAGCTCCCCACCACAACCTGTTAAAATAGCAAAGCTCTTTCAGTTCAAAGAGGGCAGCAGCAACTGGGTAAAAAGTTAAAAAATGCAACTCACCGAAGGTTACTGAAAGGATGCAATGTTAATTTAGGAGAAACTCATTAAGTCATAGTAAAGTTTGTGCACTTCTAGAGCAATGAGAAGGAGCTGAGAGTCTAGCTCAGTGGTGCAGTGCATGCTTAGTATGCACAAGGCCCAGAGTGCCACTCCCAGCATGAAAGAAAAGAAAGAAAAATCTTAGTCATAACTTCTTAAATTTATTCTTTTAAAGAAATACTTATTATATAACAATGTTTGGCTCACTTCATCAAGCCTTTGATACTTTCATTAAAATGTCAGTCTAAGTTTTGGGGTTTTTTCACAATATTTTGATGAGAATGACACAACAGGAAGTATAACGGGTTTGTGAGCAGTGTTAGGATCCCCATATCTTTGGGTCTTCAGTTTCCTTGCTGCTAACACATTATTTCCAAGCTCCTTTCAGGTTGAGAACTAGACTTTGGGTCAAAGTGCTACCATCTTCTTGAGTTTCTTGTCTCTTCCTTCCACTTGAAAACCTTTGTTTCTACACTTTAAAAGTGTTGCCAAGCCAGCTACAGTGGCCCATGCCTCTAATCCCATCACCGTGGGAAGCTGAGACAAGAGGATCATGAATTCCAGCCCAGCATGGCCAATTAATTAAACAACTTAGCAAGACCTTGTCTCAAAATTAAAAATGTTAAAAGGGCTGGGGAATTTAGCTCAGTGCAAAGACCAGTACAACAAAAAACATAAATAAAAAAATAAAATGTGCTGTCCAGGGAAATATCTTACCCACGTCCTATAAAGTTCTTTCATTTCTGGTTAAAGCTCTATGAAAAAGCTATTTAAAATTACATGTGCTCATATTGTTTATAGATTGTGGTGAATGTTTAATAAAATAAGTTTCATAAAACATTAGAAAATATTTGTCCCACTACAGCAACACATGGAAAATACTCCATAAGCCAAAATCAGCAGATCAGATATATTTGCAGTACCACTGCCCAACTCCAGGGAGTGCCATTCATAGCATATTCCATACAATGGTAGCCCAGTATTAAAATCCAACACCTTTTACTAAAATACTTTATAGGTAAGTGAAGCCATTTTATCTCCATATTCAGCTCACAGGGTTCTCAATGTCCATTGTATCAAATAAATAATCCAATGAAAAAACTTTTGAAGAAAATAACTATGACCACATGATATAAAAGAGAACAAGGAAACGAAAGCTTGAACATTTCATCTCTGCATTTTTTAAGCTTCAGTTCATCGGCCCATCTAGTTCAGCTTTTTAAAAATCAGAAGTTGACTCATCTAAAACTCTGTATAACATTTTTCCATTTTCTTTTCTAATCGTTTAAGGTTGCCTTGTAAATTCCTTTGGAAATAACAGGATACTCATAGCCTTAAACCAGTCACTATGCTCTGCAGTGATACTATCAGATTCTTGGTGTGCAGTGATGCTTTGAAAAATTACAGCCGTACTTCCTTCTAATATTTAAAAGAAACAGTAAACAAGGTTTGTTTAAGGACTGGAGCATAGTTCAGCAAAAGTGTCTGCCTGGTATATGCCCATAGGTTAGATCCCCAGCATTGAAAAAAAAGTTTGTTCTTTTAAAAACAAAGAGCAAAATTATATTTTTAGGTTTGTCGTATCTATTCTCATCTATAGCACATGTGTGTGTCTTTTAAAGACAAATTCCAATATTATCGTAAGTGTTAATCTGCTGGGGGAAAATGTAGATTGGTTGTAAAAAAAAAAAAAAGAGAGAGAGAAAGAAACTTCTGGAGACTGACATCTGAAGACCTTGACATTTTCTTTTACTCCTTCGTGTTCTCATTACATGTGAAGTGGTGCATTTGATTTCAAAGTTCACATCAAATGCAAAATAGAATATGCAATTTAGTAACATTTTATGGTCAAAATTATAAAGTACTAGAAAATAAAGTTAATTCTGACAATTAGGGTAGAAATATAACTCTATCTTTGTAATTCTAAACTTTTAAAATGTAAAACAACTTTCTAGTTTCATTCATTTATTCAGTATTTATTGAGTGCATACCATAGGATAAGCAATGCTATAGAAACTAAGTGTATGCAACATCTTGTGAGAAAAAAAAATTTATTGACATAAATTGTGCCATTACACACATGCCCTTCTGCATGTCAATACATAGGGGATTTTTTGCTTTTTTTACAGTTCGCAAAGAATAATTTCACATTTGAAAAAAATGTGAATTTGTTTTCATCTTTTATATATTAATTTATAGCACACTGCAAATAAGCATCAATGACTCAGGTGATCGCTAGCCGTATTTTTAATTTTGGATGGGTGACCAAAAGTCACAGGAACTAGTAGGAGAGAGACGAGTGAGGATAAACGATCTAAGTTATATCAATCTAACAGCTACGAGAAAACAACATAGGAGGTAATGTTTAGACTATCAATATCTTCTTTATCTCATTTTCCTGTGTGCTGAATGAATAATAAAACACAAAAGATACGGATGTTTTGAAACTAGGTATCTGTAATCTAAAAGAGATGGCAGTGATTTCAGGGGTCTATGTAAAAAAGAATGACTGAATGATAAAAATACCAACCAAGGAAAGAACAATGCTGTGATGAATAAAGACTTACGAAAGTTACATACTTAGAAGAAATAGAGGAAGTGGCGCTTTGTATCCAATTAGTAATAAATTTTTCATGGGGGAGACATATCTTCAGAACATCTTAATTAGTATGTTGGGTCAAAAAACTTTAAGAAACCTTCTAGCATACCCGATAAAGATTAGGCTGCGGCATAAAGCAAAATGGGTTCCAATATTAAATGACACTTATTAGATAAATAATTTAGCATGTCTAATCTTCCGTTCATCTACATCAGTATTAATTCCCACCACATAAGGCTGTCATATAAATTAAATGAAACAATCAGAATAAGTTTTGTAGCTAAGTGTCTTGCATATGATAACCATTCCACACATAATGTGTATTATATCTTAACTAGACTTTATACAGACATAGAACAAGGTTAGAGAAAGACTTGGGGCTAGAAGAGGAATTACTGGAGAAAAATCCATAATGAGCTAAAGAAGAGGTAAGGAATCAATTGTTTATTAAGCTATCATAAATTTTTAAAAAGACTGTATGTGCATGCTAGTTCAATTTTCAGAGTGCTTTCAATAAGTACATTAACTTATTTAAAATTCTAAACAATACAAGGTAGACAAGAATAATAGTTTGGCCCATGTTAGAGATGAGTAAAGTGAGCCTTAAGGGTGACTTGTGCCTGTAAATGAATGGCTGCTCTGGGGACATGACACCCCCACCTCGTCATCCATCCCTGGGTCTGTGTTCTCCCCACTATGCCTAGTTGACCACATCACCCAAAGGCATGGGAATGGTAGGGTTGGACACTGCTCTCATTACTGTTCTGTCCCCACTGACTAAGAAAAAGTCACCATAGCAACTAGGAAAAAGTAAAAAAAGCAAAAATCTTTTCACCGACTTTGAGACCAATCTAACAAAATCTAATCCAAGAACATCATTTCAATGTCACTTGAACTGGAATAAAATAATACTTGAAGAAGATCATACAGGTTTAATTTTACGTAGTTAATCTTTACAGAACTTTTACTGCGGACTGATAATCTACTTGATTTTATTTTCCTCCCAAATCCTAGTCATCAGCTGAAAGGAAGTGCTTACTTTATCAGCAGGAAGCACATTGATCTACTGAACTCATAACAAGGAAAGGTTTAAAGCTGCTGCTAAGCCCGTTTATTTGTGTAGCTAATTTAAATTTTTTCATAAAAGAACTTTACCAATACTGTTTTTGTTTTGTCTAAAACAAGCTATGAGTTATAAAAATGAGTTAAAAACATAATAGTGACCTCCTATATAAGTTCTATCTTCAAACTTTTGTGTATGTGTGTGTGTTTAATAAAAGCAAACCAAAAATCAAAGAGCCAAATATGATCAGAGGAACAAAATTTAAAAAGTAAATTCCACATTCCCCCATGATTTCTCCAGTTTGGTCACCTTTAACACTTGGCATTTTCCTAAAAGTATAATTCCATAAACCAACAGCAATCAGAAGGGCTCCAGCTTAGAACAGACTTGGTTGAAATCCACCCAGGATGGAAGAGAGAAATGACCCACCAGGTCCCCCTTGCACCTGTGTCCTAATTCCTATAGGGAATGCTTGATAAATATCAGTGGATGCTAATAAGAAGTTAAAAAGCCAAAGTATAGTAAAAGAAAAAAAATTTAAACACAACAAGTGATATGCTCATATACTTGGCTAAAATGATTGATGTACTAATAGTTTTTCTGGAACTACAAACTCTCATCTGTTCTGTAATACCTTGAGATGTGCCCCATCTGGCTCTGCCACATGAAAAAGCAACCCACGGAGGGCCTGAGATCATGGAGAGAAGTTACCAGTGAGAACTCTTTGGGCACAGCAGGAGCTATGTGAACTGGTAACTAAGAGCTCTGAATATGAGGGAAGTCAACCCAAAGAAAGATGAAGTATTTCCTGCGGTACACAGGCCTCACCATGTACATCCAAAAGAAATGCACTAATGTAGCTAAAGGGATTTTGAAGAGAAACTAGACTAAAAACAGAGCATTAGTCCTCTCTGAAGATTAAACTATGGATGAAGCCCCCAAAATCTACAGGCACCTGAACTTAAGGATGTGCAGATTAATTTCCTGAGGGATTTTATGGGTTGGCACATCTCTGTGAGAACAGAGAAACAAGCTGAGATGATCATTAGATGAAATCAGAAAAGAAAATCAGGTCGTATAAATGCCAAGGAATGCAAAATTCTCTGGAGGGAAAAGGAAGAAATGAGAAGATAGAAACAAAAGAAAACATAAAAGAACAAAGCCTGGGGCTCTAGGAGAGAAGAAAGTTGTCCGAAGCCACAGAACGTATTGCTTTGAGTTGC